AGAGAGAGAGACGGGTCAGAGAGAGAGACAGACAGGTCAGAGAGAGAGAGAGAGAGAGAGAGAGACGGGTCAGAGAGAGAGACAGAGACGGGTCAGAGAGAGAGAGACGGGTCAGAGAGAGAGAGAGACGGGTCAGAAAGAGACAGACAGGTCAGAGAGAGACAGACAGGTACAGGCAGACAGCCTGTCTCACCTCTCCATGCTCCAGCGGGTTCAGTCTGGAGTAGTAGGACGTGCAGATGACCTCGGTGTCCGTCTTGTAGGTTGGTGGTCCGAGTCTTGGCGTCACGTTATAATGAGACAAACACTCAGAATCAGTGATGGCGTAATACTGCCAGGGGTCAAAGGTCACACCGTCCAGAGAGCGCTCCAGGATCCAGTTACCTGATGGGGACACAGACAGGTGATGACCTCTCTGTTGGAAACAGCGTGAATGTACAGATTTAGAGAGGTCGGAGAGACAAGCTGGTCTCACCTGGGCGAGGAGAGTTTGCGGCCTTGATGATGATGTAGGCGACCTGAAACACCTGAACACAGAACATCAGTCAGTTCAGTTACCTGGGCTGTAGTCACCTGGTTACTCAGAGAACTCAGGTTACATAATCAATCATCAGTCAACATCTGGATCGAGGTGTGTGTTACACCTGAACAACTGGATCGAGGTGTGTGTTACACCTGGAGCGAGGTGTGTGTTACACCTGGAGCGAGGTGTGTGTTACACCTGGATCGAGGTGTGTGTTACACCTGGATCGAGGTGTGTGTTACACCTGGATCGAGGTGTGTGTTACACCTGGACACCTGGATCGAGGTGTGTGTTACACCTGGAGTGAGGTGTGTGTTACACCTGAACACCTGGATCGAGGTGTGTGTTACACCTGGAGTGAGGTGTGTGTTACACCTGGATCGAGGTGTGTGTTACACCTGGACACCTGGATCGAGGTGTGTGTTACACCTGGACACCTGGATCGAGGTGTGTGTTACACCTGGAGCGAGGTGTGTGTTACACGTGGAGCGAGGTGTGTGTTACCTGTTTGAGGTCCAGGGTGATGGTAATCCAGTGAAACTGTCGGCCGTTCTTGATACTTGGACTTTGCCACCACTGATTCGTCCCATCGATGGCGTTTGTTATCGGATGGCGTTCTGAGCAACACACACACACACACACACACACAAGTACTGTTAATACTACTACATACTTGTTGTTGTACTGTTGTGTACTACAGCACTGCCATGTAGTACTTGTGTAATGTGATCATAACTTGTTGGTGAGGAGGGTGGTCTGAAGGAGGGTTACAGGAAGTCAGTCATCACTAATGATCAATAACAATTTGATGTTTAACCCCGCTTCAGCACCTGACCCAGACTCAGTCCAGCAGAGAGTATCTATAATGGGTTCTGTGTGAGGATCCCAGCCTAATGGGTCCCCTAAGCCCTGATGGGGCCCCTAACCCTCCACTGTTATTATAAAGTCACTATGCTATATAGTCTCTACTATAGAGTCAGTCCTCCTCCACCATCCTGCTGCTGGTCTAAACATACAGACACCCCACTGACCTTTACGCTGACCCCTCTGTGGTTCTGGCTTTAAAGTAAACTGGACCTGCAGTTGAAAGTGTACTCTGTGGTTGTTGTTCTGGTGTAGTACCTTTGGATAGGACGGAGTTGGCATCACATTTAGGGCAGTGCGGGTTCTTGATTCGTCGTCCTGGAACATGTTCCACCAGTTTACAGTAAACCTCAGGTTCTGGATCACCACATGTCGCATTGCTGGTAATCACTGCGTTACTCGCCAAGTTCAAGATGGCTGGGAACAGACCTGAAACACACAGCTAACTGTTAGGATCCTAAAAAAACACAGCTAACTGTTAGGATCCTAAAAAACACAGCCAGCTGTTAGGATCCTAAAAAACACACAGCCAACTGTTAGCATCCTAAAACACACAGCCAACTGTTAGCATCCTAAAGCACACAGCTAACTGTTAGCATCCTAAAAAAACACAGCTAACTGTTAGGATCCTAAAAAACACACAGCCAGCTGTTAGGATCCTAAAAAACACACAGCCAGCTGTTAGCATCCTACAAAACACAGCCAGCTGTTAGCATCCTACAAAACACAGCCAACTGTTAGCATCCTACAAAACACAGCCAACTGTTAGCATCCTAAAAAACACACAGCCAGCTGTTAGGATCCTACAAAACACAGCTAACTGTTAGCATCCTAAAAAGCACACAGCCAGCTGTTAGCATCCTAAAACACACAGCCAACTGTTAGCATCCTAAAACACACAGCCAACTGTTAGCATCCTAAAACACACAGCCAGCTGTTAGGATCCTAAAAAACACAGCCACCTGTTAGGATGCTAAAAAACACACAGCAACTGTTAGGATCCTAAAAACACACAGCCAACTGTTAGCATCCTAAAACACAGAGCCAACTGTTAGGATGCTAAAAAATACAGCCAACTGTTAGCATCCTAAAACACACAGCCAGCTGTTAGGATCCTAAAAAACACACAGCCAACTGTTAGGATCCTAAAAAACACACAGCCAGCTGTTAGCATCCTAAAACACACAGCCAACTGTTAGCATCCTAAAAAACACAGCCAACTGTTAGCATCCTAAAACACACAGCCAACTGTTAGGATCCTAAAAAACACAGCCAGCTGTTAGGATCCTAAAACACAGAGCCAACTGTTAGGATGCTAAAAAATACAGCCAACTGTTAGCATCCTAAAACACACAGCCAGCTGTTAGGATCCTAAAAAACACACAGCCAACTGTTAGGATCCTAAAAAACACACAGCCAGCTGTTAGCATCCTAAAACGCACAGCCAACTTTTAGCATCCTAAAAAACACAGCCAACTGTTAGCATCCTAAAACACACAGCCAACTGTTAGCATCCTAAAACACACAGCCAACTGTTAGCATCCTAAAAAACACAGCCACCTGTTAGGATGCTAAAAAAAACACACAGCCAACTGTTAGGATCCTAAAAAACACAGCCAGCTGTTAGGATCCTAAAACACAGAGCCAACTGTTAGGATGCTAAAAAATACAGCCAACTGTTAGCATCCTAAAACACACAGCCAGCTGTTAGGATCCTAAAAAACACACAGCCAACTGTTAGGATCCTAAAAAACACACAGCCAGCTGTTAGCATCCTAAAACACACAGCCAACTGTTAGCATCCTAAAAAACACAGCCAACTGTTAGCATCCTAAAACACACAGCCAACTGTTAGGATCCTAAAAAACACAGCCACCTGTTAGGATGCTAAAAAAAACACACAGCCAACTGTTAGGATCCTAAAAAAACACACAGCCAGCTGTTAGCATCCTAAAAAACACAGCCAGCTGTTAGGATCCTAAAACACACAGCCAGCTGTTAGGATCCTAAAACACACAACCAACTGTTAGGATCCTAAAAAACACAGCCAACTGTTAGCATTCTAAAACACACAGCCAACTGTTAGCATCCTAAAAACACAGCCAACTGTTAGGATCCTAAAACACACAGCCAACTGTTAGGATCCTAAAAAACACAGCCAGCTGTTAGGATCCTAAAACACAGAGCCAACTGTTAGGATGCTAAAAATACAGCTAACTGTTAGCATCCTAAAACACACAGCCAGCTGTTAGCATCCTACAAAACACACAGCCAACTGTTAGGATCCTAAAAAACACACAGCCAACTGTTAGCATCCTAAAACACAGAGCCAACTGTTAGGATGCTAAAAAATACAGCTAACTGTTAGCATCCTAAAACACACAGCCAGCTGTTAGGATCCTAAAAAACACACAGCCAACTGTTAGGATCCTAAAAAAACACACAGCCAGCTGTTAGCATCCTAAAAAACACAGCCAGCTGTTAGGATCCTAAAACACACAGCCAGCTGTTAGGATCCTAAAACACACAACCAACTGTTAGGATCCTAAAAAAACACAGCCAACTGTTAGCATTCTAAAACACACAGCCAACTGTTAGCATCCTAAAAAACACAGCCAACTGTTAGGATCCTAAAACACACAGCCAACTGTTAGGATCCTAAAAAACACAGCCAGCTGTTAGGATCCTAAAACACAGAGCCAACTGTTAGGATGCTAAAAATACAGCTAACTGTTAGCATCCTAAAACACACAGCCAGCTGTTAGCATCCTACAAAACACACAGCCAACTGTTAGGATCCTAAAAAACACACAGCCAACTGTTAGCATCCTAAAACACAGAGCCAACTGTTAGGATGCTAAAAAATACAGCTAACTGTTAGCATCCTAAAACACACAGCCAGCTGTTAGGATCCTAAAAAACACACAGCCAACTGTTAGGATCCTAAAAAACACACAGCCAACTGTTAGCATCCTAAAAAACACAGCCAACTGTTAGCATCCTAAAAAACACACAGCCAACTGTTAGCTTTTTTAGGATGCTGTTAGCATACTGACACTCACAGCTAGCTAGTTACAGTGAACCCCTCAGGTGTCTGAATAACTCTGAGTATGAATAAAAGAATGTCTGAGTGAGTGACTGAACTCTGTCTAGACAGATCAGGTGTTTCTGCAGGTAAACTCTCAGGTGAGTCACCATAGTTCCCTTCCTGAGGCAAACCCACCTCTGCTGATTGAGTGAGGAACTGGTTGAATGATCATCACATTGTTCTGCACTGATGACACCACAGCTTGTTAAATGTCTTCAGAAGATAAAAAATCTAATAAATAAATGTGGTTCTTTAAACATAAAGCTGTTGCATGAACTTGCATGAACGGGGGTTCTTTAAACGTGAAGCCGTTGCATGACGTGGTTCTTTAAACGTGAAGCCGTTGCATGAACGTGATTCTTTAAAACATAAAGCCTGTGCATGAACGTGGTTCTTTAAACGTGAAGCCGTTGCATGAACGTGGTTCTTTAAACGTAAAGCCGTTGCATGAACGTGGTTCTTTAAACGTAAAGCCATTGCATGAACATGGTTCTTTAAAACATAAAGCCATTGCATGAACGTGGTTCTTTAAACGTGAAGCCGTTGCATGAACGTGGTTCTTTAAACGTAAAGCCGTTGCATGAACGTGGTTCTTTAAACGTAAAGCCATTGCATGAACATGGTTCTTTAAACATAAAGCCGTTGCATGAACGTGGTTCTTTAAAACATAAAGCCGTTGCATGAACGCGGTTCATTAAACGTGAAGCCGTTGCATGAACGTGGTTCTTTAAACGTGAAGCCGTTGCATGAACGTGGTTCTTTAAAACGTGAAGCTGTTGCATGAACGCGGTTCTTTAAACGTGAAGCCGTTGCATGAACGCGGTTCATTAAACGTGAAGCCGTTGCATGAACGTGGTTCTTTAAAACATAAAGCCGTTGCATGAACGTGGTTCTTTAAACGTAAAGCCGTTGCATGAACGTGGTTCTTTAAAACATAAAGCCGTTGCATGAACGTGGTTCTTTAAACGTAAAGCCGTTGCATGAACGTGGTTCTTTAAACGTGAAGCCGTTGCATGAACGTGGTTCTTTAAACGTGAAGCCGTTGCATGAACGCGATTCTTTAAAACATAAAGCCTGTGCATGAACGTGGTTCTTTAAACGTGAAGCCGTTGCATGAACGTGGTTCTTTAAACGTAAAGCCGTTGCATGAACGTGGTTCTTTAAACATAAAGCCGTTGCATGAACGTGGTTCTTTAAAACATAAAGCCGTTGCATGAACGTGGTTCTTTAAAACATAAAGCCGTTGCATGAACGCGGTTCATTAAACGTGAAGCCGTTGCATGAACGCGGTTCATTAAACGTGAAGCCGTTGCATGAACGTGGTTCTTTAAAACATAAAGCCGTTGCATGAACGTGGTTCTTTAAACATAAAGCCGTTGCATGAACGTGGTTCTTTAAAACATAAAGCTGTTGCATGAACGTGGTTCTTTAAACGTGAAGCCGTTGCATGAACGTGGTTCTTTAAAACGTGAAGCCGTTGCATGAACGCGGTTCTTTAAACGTAAAGCCGTTGCATGAACGCGGTTCATTAAACGTGAAGCCGTTGCATGAACGTGGTTCTTTAAAACATAAAGCCGTTGCATGAACGTGGTTCTTTAAACATAAAGCCGTTGCATGAACGTGGTTCTTTAAAACATAAAGCTGTTGCATGAACGTGGTTCTTTAAAACATAAAGCCGTTGCATGAACGTGGTTCTTTAAACGTAAAGCCGTTGCATGAACGTGGTTCTTTAAACGTGAAGCCGTTGCATGAACGCGATTCTTTAAAACATAAAGCCTGTGCATGAACGTGGTTCTTTAAACGTGAAGCCGTTGCATGAACGTGGTTCTTTAAACGTAAAGCCATTGCATGAACGTGGTTCTTTAAACATAAAGCCGTTGCATGAACGTGGTTCTTTAAAACATAAAGCCGTTGCATGAACGTGGTTCTTTAAACATAAAGCCGTTGCATGAACGTGGTTCATTAAACGTGAAGCCGTTGCATGAACATGGTTCTTTAAACGTGAAGCCGTTTTATGAACGGGGTTCCTTAAACAGTGGAATCAGCTTGTTGTGTCTGTTGCTTCACCTTCAACAGGGAACTCTCTGAAACTGTTTTGAAATAACAAACCGTGCCGAGTTGCTGAGAACGTCAGAGAAAGTCAAAATTTGAACGTCATCAGTGACAAAGACAACACACAGACGTGTTAATTAGTGCTGTGTGTGGGCAGCTGTGGAGGCGTGATAGCATCAGCTGGGTGGTCTGTCTCACACTCAGAGGTTTGTTGTGGGAACGCTCAGACCTGCATTTGTCTCCAGGTGCTTCAGTGCAGACGTCTGTTCCAGACACACAGACCGGTGGGTTCTGTTCTGTGGGTCACAATCAGGTTTGTTGCCAGGTTCA